TCCAAGTACGTAGCTCGTTGAAAGTGGTGTCACAGGTAGACAGGGTGGTCAAGGAGGCATTCGGCATGCTGGCCTTCGTCGGGCCGAGGCATCGCGTACAGGAGCTGGAACGTTATGTTACAGTTGCATAAGTCATTGGTGAGGCTGCACTTGGGAGTATGGTGTACAGTTTTGGTCACCCAGTTACAGGAAAAACATAAGTTAAACTGGAAAGTGTGCAAAGAAGATTTACGAGGATGTTGCCAGGACTAGTAGGCCTGAGTTACAGGGAGAGGTGAGCCAGGATACGACTTTATTCCTTGAAATGTAGGAGATTGAGAGGTGACCTTATTCAGATGTATGAAATCATGAAAGGCGTAGATGGGATGAATGCATATAGTCTTTTTCCCAGGATGGGGAATTGAAAACTAAAGGGCATAGGTTTAAAGCGAGAGAGGGAAGATTTAAGAAGGACCTGAGGAGCAACTTCTTCACGCAGAGAATGGTACGTATATGGAATAGGCTGTCAGAGAAAATAGTTGAGGCAGATACAATAGCAACATTTAAAAAACATTTGGATAGGTACATCAATGGGAACGGATGAGAGGGATATGGACCAAATGCATGCAATTGGAACTAGCTGAGTGGGCACCATGGTCAGTATGGACCAGTTTGGACTAAAGGGCCTGTTTCCATACTGTATTACTTTATGACTCTATGACACTATGACTATAATGTCTTCTAACCCTGAGAACTCCACAGTCCATCGCCTCAGGTAAATCCCTCATTTCCTTCATTCCACCACTGTGGATACTGCAAACCTGAAACAGAAACAGAAAATAATGGAAATACTCTACAGGTCTGACAGCATCTACAGAGAGAAAACCTGCTAACATTGCACATCTGTGACGTGGACTAGAAAAAGTTTGAAAATTATTAGGTGATAACTGGTTGTATCGTTATTTTGTTGCTGCGGCATTGGTTCCAACAAGAATGTTGCCCTAAACTTACTGCGCTTTTTTTATATAGCACCAATAAGATCTTTATCATACAACTAACTTCACACATTCCTAACTTTTCCCAGTTTTGCTGGAGGATAATAGAAGAAAGGGACTTTGGCGTACAATTCCATAGAAGGTTACAGCACAGGTAGACAGGATTGTGAAGAAGACATATGGGATGCTTGCCTTCCTTAGCCAAGCCATAGAATATTGAAGCAAGGAAGTCTCGTTATAACTTTATAAAACATTTATATGGCCAGAGATGGAATACTGTGTACAATTCTGGTCACCACACTATCAGGGACATAACAGCAATGCAGAGGGTGCACAGGAGATTCAGCAGGATGTTGCCCGTGATGAAAAATCTCAATTATGAGGAGAGACTGGGTAGCCTAAGTTTGTTTTTCCCAGAACAGAGGAGGCCAAGGGGGAATCTGATTGAGGTACACAAAATTATGAGAGGTATAGTCAAAGTTGACAGAATCTTTTCCCTGTGGCAGACGTATCTAAGACCACAGGGCATAAGTTTACGGTGAGGATAAAGTGATTTAGAGGAGATCTGAGAAAATTCTTTTTTCACCCAGAGTGTGGAACATGCTGCCTAGGAGAGTAATGGAGGCAGGTACTCTTGCAATATTTAAGAAACATCTGGATGAGCGCTTAAAATGCCAGGGCATAGTAGGCTATGGATTTAGTGCAAGTAAATGGGATTTGTGTAGTTTGTTGTTTATTGGTCGGCATAGACATGATGGATCGAAGGGCCTGTTTCTATGTTGTATGACTCTATCACCTGAAACATTAATTTTTGCTTTTCTCCACAGATGCTGCTAGTCCTGGTATTTCCTGTTTTAATTTCAGATTTCGAGTATCCTTTTTCTGTTGCTTTTGTATTAATTTATCAGTGGTATTTACTACTCACAAAATACCTAATGGAAACATTCTTGGCTGCAAGGAACAGTGGCTACAATTCCAAATTCTTAATGATACTTCAACTTCAGAATGCCCCAAGAGACACAAGATTGTTGCAATTTGTTTCAGTTGTGCATCTTAAACACTCATTTACTTTCGGCACATTATATACAGTGTTAAAACCAGAAACTAAGACTGAAGTTACTCCCACCTCAAAGGTTTTAATGTGAAAATTCGAACATCTTTATTTGCGACTGCAAGGATATGAAAAGACCTTCCAAGGTTTGGAGCAAATGCAATATCATGCACTGGATCAGTAACGGTGATTAGAGTTTCTGCTTTTGCATATTTCCTAAATAAAAAACACAAGTATCAAATCAGTTTTCATAATAATTTACTCTTCTTTGCTTGCATTTTCTTGTCATTTCAAGCCTCAAATGGAACATATTACTGCACGATTCAAATGTTCTTTCCAAGTGGGAAGACTATAAAAACACAGCAGTGACAAAGCTCTTCCCCCAGCAGTGGCTGCTTTAGACATACCAAATGCACTTTATAGACATGCAGATTGCAGAACTAGGAACTGGCAAGATCTGCAGATATTTCTCCCATTTTCTTGCTCATTATTTAAGATCGTTGTGGGGAAGGTGATACTTTGATCCACAAGGGTGTCAAAGGATTCTTTTTACTGGTGGGAGGAGCAGGCAGAAAAGAGGAGTTAAGGTCATAATCAGATCAGCTATATTAAACACAGAGTTGGCTCAAATGGATAAAACGGCCTGCTCCTTTCTCTATTTATGTTCTAAGGCTCAGTCACACCCACAAAATAGAAACTCGAATTTGAGATGAGGAACATTCAGAACTTGACTTGGTATGCGGATTTCCTCCACTTCAAAAGCCTGCTGATGCTCACCGTCTGGGTTTAAACATGAGAATCTGCCACTTGGGTCTCACCTTAACAGACAGTCATTGTTCATGGAACATTATTCCAGCACACACAAGCATCATCAGGAGAGGATGGGAGTAAAATGGCAAAAACATGTAAATTTTCATGCACTGAAGCACATTCTACCTGGTGTTTTCATTGTATTCGTAAATTTGAACTTTTCCGCCCACATTTGTGCTGCTATCATCACTGCCCACCGCAATCATAGGAGGATGGGAACGGGAACTGTGAAGAAAAGCATTAGAAAAGAAATGTAAGATATAATTATTAGCCCTGTGTACAAATGATAGAAAAATGTAATTAAATCTGTACAAGTAGTAACTCTCACCGATAACTTTCACTATGCTAAAAGGATTGGCTTTCATAAAATATTTCCAAAAAGGCAGGAGAAACAAAAGAAAAGAGACTTAAAGCTGAACTCATGGCTGAAAACACAATCAAAAGATCTGTTTCAGAAACAGGAAGCTTGACTGTACTGATAGAGAATCGTAATATGCACTTCCATTCGCTGTTAAAATCCCAAATTCAGTTGACATTTTATGTAAATTTTTCCTGCTCAAAGAGTCAGATGGGCGATGAGGAAGATTTTTTTCTCTATCTCTCTTTAGAGTTGTTGTCATCTGAAATGTGTTACCCGAACATATGGTAGGAACAGACTCAGTGACAAGTTTCAAAAAGATATTAGATAAATATTTGAAAGGAACAAAATTGCAGGATGAAAGGGAAACAGGTTAGTTCTTTCAATGAGCCGGCACAGCACAATCGGTTGCCATATTTTATCCAAGTGAGAGGTATCAGAGCTGGGAAATGCAACAGTTCTTAAAACCAAAAGAACTGTAGATGCTGTAAATCAGGAACTAAAACAGAAGTTTCTGGAAAAGCTCAGCAGGTCTGGCAGCATCTGTGAGGCAAAATCAAAGTTAACTTTTCAGGTCTGGTGACCCTTCCTCAGAACTGATGGTAGCTAGGAAAATGTTGATTTATATGCAGTTTTTAACAACAGTTTTTAACTTTGCTACACAACTAGCAGTGAGCACTCTGAGGTCAAATGCAATAAAAACAATTGGAAAAGATGCCAGAATAAAATTAATGGAACCTGACCATCTACTGGGGCAGTTGTAAAAGATGCAGAGGTGATCACACCATTGTGGCCAAATGTTTGTAAATGGACAGTGGCCTTACTGATATTAATGGTTTGCTTTTTTTAAATTAACGGTATACACAATACAGTGTGGAGTGCTGAGGCACAAAAACTGGCCATTCAGCCCAACTGGCCATGACAATGTCACATTTCACATTCAGCGTAACTTCTGGTCCTTTTTCCCTTAAGTTTATCTAATTTAACCTTAAATCCCCTTCTCCACTCCTCATGGTAATGGCAGAAAGAAGAAATATAATCAACTTTATCAACTATCTCCACAGCAGTTCACCATAAATTTATTCTGAATGTGAAAGGGACTTTTGACTAGTTGTATAAATAAATAAAAATGCTCTTTATTAGCCAAAACCAAAAGGATTCTGCTGAAAAGTCACCACACTTGAAACGTTAACTCTACTTTATTCCCACAGATTCTGCCAGACCTGCAAAGTTTCACCAGAATCTTCTGTTTCTGTTTCAGATCTTTGTTTTACAGGACCCTTTAACTTCTCTGGAGTTGCTATTTTATCCTCAACTGGTGTACTAGTTTAAAAATTCTGAAGCACCACGCTAGGTCAGAAAACCCACACATTCTCACCTGGAGGGGTTCCAGGAAATACAGCTGCAACTTAATTTGCACGATATCTCATGTTGCAATGACCACTGACTGAGATTCATGACATCTGGGGCCTCATATATCCGTACAACTCCATCTGCAGAACAGGTGGCCAGAACCAAACCCATGTGTTTCGGAGCAAATTTCACGTCGGTCACTGAAGTTCTGCTGTCTACAAGTGTAGTCCTCTTAACCTGTTTGGAGATAGGTACTTAAAGGCTCGTTAATGTGAACACAGCTATTGACCAGGGTTTTTACTTTTGTTTCATTACAATATCCTCTCATTTTCCCTCCTTTCCTGAAGATGGTGACTCTTTTAATGGAAAAAAGGTGTATTGCGATCTCAGTGAAGAGTCCAAGCTTCTGTTAGAGTTTGACAGTACTATCCTGAAGATATTTTCACTGGGGTGGGAATCTTGAAATCGGGGATAGCTATTCAGTAAGGTGACACTTCATTTAAATCTGAGTTGCGATTGAATTTCTTCTCCAAGAGAGGGTAGTGGATGTCTGGAACCTTCTAGCTGAAAGTTCTTAAAGAAGAGGTAGGTAGGAAATATCAGGAGTTAAGGGCTATGAGAAGATGACATACACAGGGTGTTCGACAGATCAGCCACGAACTTAATGTCGCACCTAGCTATTCTTCATTCAAGTTGTAAGGTTTTTTTATTTGTTTGCAGAACGTGAACATCGCTGGCTAGGCCAGCATTTGTTGTCCATCCCTAAATTTTCATTCCAGATTATTACTGAATTCGATTTTCACCATCTGCAATGTCCCTGTTAGACCCCATGTCCCCAGCTTATCCGAACAATGTGTAGAACATTCTGCCTCAGCAATGTGCCCACTAACAGCACTTGGTCTAACTTGAATTGAAGTGGTTAAAATGGGTGTTAATACATAACAACTTGGACAAAATAAGAGGGTGACCGGGTACATCATTCTTGCCTCTGAGAGGGAAAATGGGGCATCAAATTTTCCTCGAAAGACTTGCACGGAAAGATTTGTGCTGATGTCTCAGTTCAATAGTAAGGCAGTGCTCCATCGTCAAAGGTGTTGTCTTTTAGATGTGATATTAAACTGAGATCTTGCCTGAAATCTGAGGTGGATGTAAAAGATTCCATGGCACTGTTTTGAAGAAGGGGCGTATTCACCAGTATTTATCCCTCAACCAATTACAACATAAACATTTCTAGTCATTATCACATGGCTGTCTGCGGGACCGACAGCACAAAAATTAGTTGCCAGAGATCCTACTTTAAAACAATGACTACTCTTCAAAAGCAATGTGTTAGCTATAAGGTTCTTTGGGATGCCACGAGGTTGTGAAGGTGCTGTTGAAATGCAAGTACTCTCTTGTCACTTCATTTGACACCTGTTGCATATTACCATTCATCAATCAGCTTTCAATCCACAGCTAACTAATATTATAAAACATTACTGACCATTTCGCTAACCAAGTATATTACATCTTAACTTGATTAATTGTTTTGTCATTTGTTAAAACAATCTCATAAGATGCTATGTTGAGCTTTAGAATTTGACTTTTTGTTGAACATGTGGTGGATTAGTTGCTCTGGAGACTGGAAGTGTGGTTAAACTGTCATTGCCACCATCCATTGTGGATACAGCATCACAGACCAAAACCAACCAAACCCAACAGCATCAGTTGTGAAAACATCCAAACTCACCCAATGGCTCTGGCCCCGCAGTTTGTCATTCGATTCTCCCACTATCTCCTCCCATACAGCTGCTGTCCGATCAAAGGAGCAGGAAGCTAACACTTGCCCAAACTCAGGGTGGGCCCATGTCACTCGCCACACTGACCCACTATGTGTCTACAAAACAGATTGTATAAAATTTTGCACATTAGGTCAGAGAGAGTAGCAGCCTTAATGGTAAGTATCTCAATCTGAATGTAAATCATACAATGTTACAGGGTAGAAATAGGTCATTCACCCAACTGATGCACACCAGTTGATATCAATTCTCTACGTTGCATGACAGACTAGTCTGATGAGAAACAATCAAGGAGCAGTGGGCTATATTCTCCAAAGTTTAGGAAAAAAAAAGATAATCTAACTGAAACCATAAAGTACTTATAAAGTTTGATAGAGTGGATCTCCAAGGCTCGAAAGTCATAGTCTCTGAGTAAGGGGTTTGGCTATTAAGAAATGAGGGAAAGTTCCTTCATGCACTCAGACAGACAAAATTCTCTGTTGCTGTTAAGTTGATGAGCATATTCTAAACCAATAGTGACAAATTTTTTTAACATTAAGAGAATCAAGGATATGGAGATTAGTCAGGTAAGTGATGTCCATGTACAAAGTTAGCCTTAATGTCACATCTAGAGATATTCTTCATCAAAGTCGTAAGTATTTTTATTTGTTTGCAGAAAGTGGACTGACTGGATTATGTGACTGGATTCAGAGCACTTGTGAAGGACCAAGTGGACTCCTCCTGGTTCTATTTAGAATATGTAACAATTATACCTAAGTATTTATTGTTTAGAGTATAAAGGAATGTATTGTAGTGCAGTCCAGATATAAGAAAGTACATTTATGTGCCACTGATGTTCTGATTCTAATTAAATCCTTATTCTTTTTCTCTCATGCATTAATTTAGCTTCACCTCAATCGTCTTTCCAACAGAAGTCTTTCAAATTCACATTATTTGCAGCGAAATGTATTTCTGCTCCCCAGTCAACTTGCCACAACTATGACAAAGAAGTGGAGGAGCCTGGAATTGTCAACTATGCACCAAAGTGGGAAGATGCTGTTTTTTAAAACAGGTTATTCCCCACAATCAGATGCCATATCTGGTACATAAGTTATTGAGTGTGGCTTCCCCACATGCTGACAGAGAGAGAAACTGATTTGAGGAACAATCACCGCTTACATATAGCCTTTGTGCCTAGGAGACAAAACAATATCAACGGCTCATAAATGTACTTTCTCCTTTCTGGTCTACACTACAATACATCCCTTTATACTCTATACAATAAATACTTCGTTATAATTGTTATATTCTAAACTCTTTTAAACAGACGTAGAGTCCTGTTCCTGTCAAGAAATAGTATTTCATCTAAATTAGGTAAATAGTTGAAAATTGTATGTACTGATATTGACTCAATGTCTGAAGGGAGCCTTTTTTGTCGCGGAGTCAAATCATCAAAAGAACAATGGTTAATAGTTGTTTGGTAATACAGAACTTGAGTACTGCTGTGAAAAGGGACAGACTGTTGACATTTTTCTTCTTGCATTCATCAAGGCAGATGCAAGAATACCAAATTTCAAATAGAACAGTTTACAGTTTATTTTACTATAATGTTATAAATTGTCACTCTCTTTGAAATTTGATAGTCTGTCCTGATGAATACAAAACAAAAAGCGTCAACAGTATGTCTCTTTTTTTCAGTAACGTATTACCATGATTAACTTGAACAGTTTGATAATCTGAAATTTCTGATTATCAAGGTTATTATATAGTCAGTTGCTCAAAGGTTTTACAGATTTGAACAAAGTGAAGCAGCCTTCACATAATCTGATCTCTTTTTATTTGTGACAGCAGCCTCTGCAGAGAAAAATTACCACTGACAACTGTTGCTACACCACCACTGAGCTTCTTCTGTCACTTGTGAACTCAAGTCAGGTATTCCTCTAATAATGTCAATGTTTGGTGAAACAATCTGAAACCACGACTGTTTCTCAGTGAGATTATGAAGACTGATTTTCTTCAAGTTCAGAATTCTTGAGAGTTAAAACAGTGTAAACACATGTACATTAAACAGAAGTGCAAGTTGGTATGTGCCAACATAAATAGAATGAAGATAAAACACACTGGTATTGCTCTGGTGCCTCTACACTCCAGTAGCAGCTACTCACCTTCCAGCTGGCTGTGCAGTGCCAATCCCCAGTTTCACCCTTGTCCCACACCTGTTAAACCAACACAACATTTGTTAAAAAAAATAAGTCCAATGGATTCACAGACACATAAAATATTTTGAACTGGAAACTATGACCAGGTGCTTCCCCACAAGGATTCACTAGGATGGCAACTTTGTCTCTTCCAATTCCCAAAAGTCTAGCAAAACATTACACAACTATACTCTAAAGAAAACCTAGGACTAAGCTACCTGTAAGATCAGTGAATGAATGGCATTTAGCCAAAGGAAATCTGGGAAGGCCTGGAGATCAAAAATATCCTAATCTTTTCAAATCAACTTGTGTCAAAATGTGGGAGGTCTGAACAGTTTGTAAGTCAGCAGATCTATTCTTTGCAGATGGCATAAACAAGGTCTAATGGACACTGCAAACGTAAGAGATCTTGAAGTCCTGACACAATCTGATAACCTTGCAATTAAAGTCACTTCATAAGCTAGTCAATCTCTTGGTTAAACACTGCATAATTTGATCTGAAGAAAACAGGAGTTATTACTGCTCACAACATTCTTGACCACAACATATGCTGTATTTTATAAAAGATATTCAGCATATTATTAGATCAGTATAAACCGAATCACAGAATCACTACGATGCAATAAGAGACCATTCAGGTCTGCACTGACCATCTGGACAGCATGCCACCTAGACCCAGCCCCCCCAACCCTGTAACCCTTATTTCCTGTAGCTAATCCACCTAGCCTGCACATCCCTGGACACTATGGCGTAACTTAGCATTGGCCAATGCACCTAAGCTGCACATCTTTGGACTGTGGGGGGAAACCTGAGCATCTGATGGAAACCCACGCAGACATGAGGAGAACATGCAAACTCCACACAGACAGTCACCCTAGGCTGAAATCAAACATGGGTCCCTGGCGCTGTGAGACAGCAGTGCTAATCACTGAACCACCGTGCCACCCAACTGCTTATAGCGCACAGCTCAAAATACGTGATCACTCACACACTGAGTTAGCTTCATCTTTTGGGCAAACTGGTGAGCCTCCACCCATTCCACTTCATCAAACACTATCAGCACTATCTTTTCCTTTCTCCCTCGTGCATATTTACCTTCCCCTGAAATGCACCTAGTTACTTCAAATAATCCATCTGATTCCTTATTGTATTTAATGATTTTCTTATATTTGTGACTTCTAGTTTTGGACAAGCTGTCTGTACACAGTTTGTAAGATAGGCATGACAGATCTCCAAAATCTAATGTATCAAAAGATATAGTGATTGTGCAGGAAAATGGCATTGAGGGAGAAGATCAGTCATGATTCAGCGCAATTGTACAGCAGGCTCAAGGGACTGAATAGCCTAATCTACTCCAATTTTCCACACTTTGGGCTGAAGTGCCCCACACACAAGTCCATTCCACAGCTTAACTCAGTAATAGGACTCTCACTTCTGAATCAGATGGGGGTATAAGCCCCACTTGAAGCCAGTACAAGCGTGCAGTGCTGAAAGAGACCCGAGTAGTCAGAAATGCCTGTCCACATTGCCCTGATAACAAGGATCTGTTCTCAATGGTTTTCATGTGCCATGACAAGGTGAAGAGTGTGCTGGCAAGTTTTCAGAAGCAGTGCTACTTTACCTGAGTCAAGTCTGGCCTGTGCTTCTGATCTGTTCCAGAGTCTCGATATTTATTATTGAAGGCAGTATCTGCTAACCAGGTGTCCCTATCAACAATGCTTGTGGAAGCCTCCAGAGCCACTCATGCATAGACTTCTGATAGTGCACATGTGGGTGTGCTGTGGAATTTTGTCTTATTGAAAAGGTTGGGAACCACTCTCCCATCTCACATATTAAAACGGTTTTCTGAGCATATTACGCTGGAGTTTATATTCTTTAACTGAAAACCTGTTCATTCATCTCAGAGCTCTTTGTGGTGCTTAATTATTTACAAATAACTTCTCATTGCCTTCACCATACTGGGTCAGTAGGAGATCAGTTGACAAACATTCACATTCACTAGCATTTGCACTCATTGAAACAGAAACAACAAAAGCAGCAAAAACTCAACAACTGAGAAGAGGGAATTAACATTTCTGTCCTTAACCTTTCATCAGAACTGAACAAGGTCAGAAACATGAAGAGAGTATTTCGGTGGAATGGCCCATTGAAGCAAAATGAACCCAACCACAGGGCTGGCTGAAGGCAGGTGAACAACTCCCTTCCCCATTTCCCCAGGCATGCTCTTCCATCCACTCTGGGGGGCAGGGTGTTATCTCCCCATAATGTGCCCCAACCTCCTTGATCTCTCTCTGTCCCTCTCCAAACCCTTCTCCTCCCTCTCACCCTACCTTGTGCTCCTCCTCCTCCTCCCTTTCACCCCCTCTCTTTAACCTTTAACCCCCAAACCCCAATCCCTCCCCTATCCCCTCATTCCTCAGTCCCCCCCTTCACCCCACCACCTCAGCCCCCTCCCCGGGCCCAGCCTTGGCCTCTCCACCTTCACGCTCTGATCACTGGAGCAGGTCGCCATCCTCCGCCCGTGGAAGTCGAAGGAAACATCGTGGATCAGGTCTTTGTGGTCGGCCGCGATACTCCGAGCCACGAACATCCCGACAAGGAGGGATTTCGAGCGGCGGGACCGGGGCGGCAGGGCACAGGCCTCGGATCGCGAGCTGACTCGACGGCGATGCTTTGGCGCCTCCCGCTCGGCATGTAACGACGGGGGGGGGGCGGAAGCCGGCAGGAGGCGCTCGACCGGTTTGCTGTAGCGCGGAGACACCAGGCGGTGGCGCTGTCCCGGGCGGGACAAACTGTGGTAGCGTGTAATGACCGCCATATGGCGGCGCTGGGGAGCTGGTGGTTCTGTTTCTTGGATGTCATCGGGAAGGGCCGGCCATCTGTGCTGTACAAGGTGTGACCATCAGGCGGCGCAGTAGTGGCCTGCAATGTCAACAGTGGGAACGCTGCTTGTGGAGGCACTGTTCTGCCTTTTCATTATTGAAGGCTCTCTTTTTATCTTAAGAACTTTGTATGGATTGCAAATCCCATGGCAATCTATAACATTTTCCCAGCAGAGCATTTTGGATAGCAGTACTCACACTAAGGCCCTTGAAGTTATTTTCTCAGCATTGCTACTAACTGTTGCCTCTGCAGTTTGTGGCCATGATGTGGAGGTGCTGGCGTTGGACTGGGGTGGACAAGGTCAGAAGTCACACGGCACCAGATTATAGTCTGTAATAAAAACCGAAAGAACTGTAAATCAGGAACTAAAACAAAGTCCCACCTGATGAAGGAGCTACACTCCAAAAGCTTGTGATTTCAAATAAACCTGTTGGACTTTCACCTGATGTCATGTGATTTCTGAGATGGAGACAGCAGATAGGATCATGAACTGATCGCTCTAGCATTTATTGGTATCTATCATGGTATGAGCTTGGACATTGCTTGAAGAATGATGTGCTTGAGCAAATGCCAGTGTTTTCATCCAGAGCAGGAATCCATGGACTGTGTACTCTTTATTTGTCTATCAAACCCTTCCAGAGACTCAGGCCCTTACTGCCTCTAGTGTTGCAATCTCTGAGGTAGATCCGTTCACTGCCTACTGAAATCCAGGTTAAGAATTATTGAAGGTTTGACATCAAAGGCCTCAAATATTCCAGAGGCAGCCCTTCTCAGTCAGCGTCTCACTGCCAACTTCTCAACTTCTACACTGTACCCGTGGTGTGTGGGCAGCCTTAAAGTCTAACATAGAGTCATACAGCACGGATTTCTGACCCATGTCTAAGGCATTGGTTTATCAGGCAGTAGTAATCCCTGTGTTCCTATATAGTCCAATAATGATGATGATAAATACAGATTCAATACAAATTGAAAATTATAATAAGTTTGCAGATGACACCTAGTAGACAATGAAGAAGGTTTTCTAAAATTACAAAGGGATCTTGATCAAATGGATCAATGGGCTGAAAAATGGCAGATGAAGTTCAATCTGGATAAATAAAAGGCATTGCATTTTGGTACCACAAACAAGAGTAGGGCTTATACAATTAGTGGTAGTGCCGTGGGTAGTGTTGTAGAACAGAGGGACCTAGGGGTGCAGGTACATAATTCTTTGAAGTTTGTGTCACATATAGGGTGGTTTAAAATAGCATTTGCCATGCTTGCCTTCATTGCTCAGTCCTTTGAATATCGGAGTTGGGAAGTCATGTTGAGGTTGTACAAGACATTGGTGAGTCCTCTTCTGGAATAGTGTGTCCAGTTCTGGTTGTCCTGTTATATGAAGGATATTATCAAGCTGGAGAGTTGAAGAGATTTACAGGATGTTGCTGGCTGGGTATGGAAGGTTTGAGTTATAAAGAAGGGCTGGATAGGCTGGGACTTTTTTTTTTCACTGGAGCATAGGAGGTTGAGAGGTGACCTGATAGAAGTTTATAAAATAATGAGAGGTATAGATAGAGTTAATGGTAGTTGTATTTTTCCTGGGATGGGGGATTTCAAGACTAGGGTCATATTTTTAAGGTGAGAGGAGAGATATTTAAAAAAGACATGAGGCAAACTTTTTACACAGAGGGTGGTTCACATGTGGAATGAGCGTCCTGAAGAAGTGATGGATGCGGGCATGATACAACATTTAAAAGATATTTGGATGGATACATAAATAGGAAAGGTTTGGAGTGATATGGGACAGAAGAAGGCAGGTGGGACTAGTTTAATTTGGGACTATGTTCGGCATGGACTGGTTGGATCAAAGGGTTTATTTCCGTGCTATATGACTCTGTGACTCTATTTAATTAACTCGTCCCATTTTTCTGCCCTTTTCCCCAGAAACCACGCAATTCTTTTCAGATAATTATCCAATAATAACTTCTGTGTCAAATCTCTCCTCAGATTTGAAAAAGATAAACTTGTGTTCATATAGTGCCTTTCATGACTGCTGGACATTCCAAAAAAGCATATGCACATACAGAACTTTTGCAGTGCAGTTTACTGTTGTAAATGATAAATGAGACTCCCAAATTGTATATAAAGACCAGATAAACTTTTCAATGTGCGGATGAGGGATATGTTTTTACTCTGCACACTAGGAATAGAAGTGAAGAGAAATGAAAAGCTTAGCTGGCTGAGGAGAGAGTGCAGAGAAAACAGGTCAGTGAACAATGCACCTTCCAAACCCTCTGTCTTCTTCTGCAGCAAATGTAGCAGACAGCTGAGCTAGAATGGAGGCTACACTGAACCACATCAAGCGATGTTTAACACAGAGTTGAGCTCCAAGACGCAAACTAAGGTCTCACAAGGCTGCCAAAGCACAGTCAGATGACAACAGAAAGAGGAAGTTGAAAATTTCAGTTACATTTGAAAGCACAAACAAAAACCTAAACAAAGCCACAGTTTGTCGTGTCCAGAAAGTTACAGATTACGTCATTTAAAGCTCAGATTACTGTGTATGTCACAGATGAGATTTTGTTATTAAGTAACTGACTGAGAAGTGAAGACTGATCTATTGCTTGCATCAGTTGTTTCCCCAGTAAGTCGATGATTCACAGAATTTCACAAAGAGGTTTGAACTGACAGTGATGCTGCTGTATTGAAACTATGTGAGGAACCCAAAAACCCAAATATTGCAGATGTCCTAACTGAGTCACTTACTTTGCACCATCTTCTACCTCTCCCTCCTACAAGCCAAAGTGCCCATCTGCTTCAAGAAGACCACCATCATCCCCGTGCCCAAGAAAACACATGCAGTGTGCCTTAATGACTACCACCCAATAGCTCTGACTTCAATAATCATGAAGTTCTTCGAGAGGGCTGGTCATGGCCCACATCAGCTCCCGTCTCCCAACCTGCCTCAATCCCCTACAGTATGCCTACCAACATAACAGGTCCACAGAGGATGCCATATCCCTAGCCCTGCACTCACCCCTGGAACATCTGGACAACAAGGACACCTACGTCAGACTCCTGCTCGTTGACTACAGCTCTGCCTTCAACACCATTATCCCCTCCAGAGTGATCTCAAAACTCCATGACCTTGGTCTTGGCTCCGCACTCTGCAACTGGATCCGAAGCTTTCTGACCCACAGACCGCAATCAGTGAAGATAGGTAACTGTACTTCCTCCACAATAACACTTAATACTGGAGCCCCCCAAGAATGCGTCCTCAGCTCCCTACTGTACTCCATGTACAGCTATGATTGTGTTGTCAAATTCTGAATGAATGGTATCTCTAAGTTTGATGACGTCACCACCGTAGTGGGACAGATATCTAACAATGACAAGTCAAATTACAGAAGGGAGATAGAGGGCTTGGTGATGTGGTGAAATGAAACAATCTGTCTCTCAACGTTGTCAAAACTAAAGAACTGATCATCGACTTCAGAAAGAAAGAAGGAGAACACGCCCCCATCTACATCAACGGAACTGAGGTTGAGAGGATGAAGAGCATCAAGTTCCTGAGAGTGACAATAACTGACCACCTGCCCTGGACTTCCCATGTAAATGCGACAGTTAAGAAGGCGCAACAATGCCTCTTCTTCCTCAGGCGGCTCAGGAACTTTGTGCTGTCCATAAGGTCCCTCACCAACTTCTACAGATGCACCATTGAAAGCATACTGTCAAGTGCATAACGGCCTGGTATGGCAACTGCTCTGCCCAGGACCGTAAGAAACTACAGAAGGTGGTGTGCAGAGCCCAGACCATCACAGAAGCCAACCTTCCATCCATGGACTCTATTTACATGGCCCGCTGCCGCTGAAAGATGGCCAACATCATCAAAGACTTATCACACCCCGGTAATGACTTCCTACAGCCTCTTCCATCAGGCAGAAGTTACAGAAGCCTGAACACATGCAAGAGCAGGTTCAGGAACAGCTTCTTCCCAGCCATTATCAGACTGTTGAATGGACACTCTAGCCTCAAATAATGTGACCTGTATACCTCTAAGTCTTTGCGATCTGTACCTCTTTTGTTTGCTATGATCTGCCTGTTTCGCTTGTAAACAAAGCTTTTCACTGTATTTTGGTCCACATGACAATAAATCAATCAATCAATCAAGCCCTTTGGGAAGAGTAAATTCGCCAATAGATTCTTCTCTTTCATATGAGAACAGCTGGAGCCTCATCTACTGTGGAACTGTACATCACACTAGTTAGATCACAGCTGGAGCACTGTGGGCAGTTCTGGTCACGACAGTGTAGAAAGGATGTGAGTGCACGAGAGAGGGTGGATCACAAGGATGTTGCCTGGGCTGGAGGGATTCAGCTATGAAGAGAGACTAGATAGGCTGGTATTATTATGGATACACTGCATACTTGTGTGGCCAATATATCACACATTTGCTGCCAGGTTTGTTTCATAGTGACCAGTAGCAGTTGCAGCCCCCTCTCTTATAAGTTGTCTCACTGATCCTGCCTATTGCAAGTCCATTGACAGTTGTTTTCCTCAACATTGCATGCTTCATGATTGGAATGATAACAGATGGCCTTCTGCTTTCAGCTTCATTGTCAACATGCTTCTGAGACCCTGAACTCAGCTTGCTTTCCCTAGTTGGGGGAAGGCTAGAAACAGGGGCCACAGTCTCGGGATACGGTGCAGGCCATTAGGACTGAGATGAGAAAACATTTCCTCACTCAAAGGGTGGTCAACCTGTGGAATTCACTACCACAGAAGGCTGTGGAGACTGGGTCACAGTATATTCAAGAAAGAGATTGATAATTTTTTTTTAGTTATTGGAAGCATTAAGGAAT